ACAAAGGATATACTTATTCCTAATGCGGAGTTGTCTTTTGAAAGGAAAAAGTAAATAAAAAAACTAAAAGCAGTTTAATTTAACAAATACACATTTTAACTCAGTGAAACGGTTATACATATAACATAGATTTGACATAGTCTTAGAGATATATATACCTTCTATAAATAAAACTATTTTAATATAACATTACTATCTCAGAATCCATCAATGACAACTGTAGATTGGATGGAAAACAAAAAACCCAAGCTGCATTTAGTTTTTATAAAACTTGCTACAGAACTGGTTTTATCTCGTATAGTGACTAATTAACTATTTCAGGATAAATAAAATGAATCATATCACATAAATAGTTTATGTACAACAGTGACCATTGTCAGTGGTAGATTACCAGACGCAATTTGTTGAACAGGATTTGGATTCCCTTATACTGCATTCGTTTTACAGATTATAATATATCAATCTGAATTACAGTATAAGTGGTAAACGTATTATTAAATAATAATACAATTTCAGGTAAAAACAAATAAAAAGTTAGAGACATTCAAATAAAAAAATAACAATCATTACATTAGACTAGATTAAATTAAATCAAATTACTAGATTCAATTCAAATTACTAGATTAGATAAAAGATAGGAAAAAAATAAGATTAAGAATTATATTCAAAAAATATAAATTTAAAAAGTCCAGGGTAAATATTTTCCTTCCTTTTTCCTTAGATTGTATATTTCGTTCTTTAATTACTCCATACGTACAATATACTACAATTTCTTCTTTTTTTTTCTTTTATCATCTAGACTAGTTTTACTCTATATTTTTCAATTGTTATCCCATATTTTATATTGATTGCATCGAACTAGGTCGGATTTTTGCAATACACGTGACAACTTTTTAACAGTTTACATTAAATCTCTCTCTCATCCTACACCACCCCAAGGTAGGCTGGCAGTGAATGCCTACGGCACCTTTGTACATTTTGTTTGTGCTTAAAGTATTAAATTAATAAAAAACTACACTATTCCGATTTTCACTTAATAGTGCTGTGTTTGTTAAACCTTGTACTGAGCTCTTTTTTTTAAATTTCCAACTTTTATTTTAAATCAAAATTCGAGATTTAGTACTTTCTTCTCGAAAGTTTATCAACAAGAAGTTGATTGATCAACAACCGATGTTGGTCCTTGAAATGAATGTCCTTCTAATTAATCCTTGTAATTAATAAGTCCGTGTGGTGACGGATTAAGAATACGGAATGAATAGGGCTCTTTTCATCCCGTGGGATAGAGCCGGGGGGTAAGAGCCGACTAAGGGAGCAAACTACGCAGGACAACAACACTATAAAGAGAAGGAAAACTTGAAACAAACCCTATACCAACCCGCCTGGCCAGCGTGGTATAGTAGGCCAAAACCTCCTTTCTAAGGAGAGGCCTATGTCCAGCAGTGGACTGTTATAGGCTGTTGAAGAAAGAAGTAATTAATTATATAATTGTAGAATATTAATATGTTTATAAGATTATGTATGACTATGACTATTATATAGAGACTATGACGATTAGAATGTTTCAGAGTCACAAACTTGGTAAGTATGTGTGTGTTCGTACTCATTAAGGTGTGGTCTTCAGACAATTGTGTGATTTAATTATAAATTTTCTTGATTCTTTTTTTAGTCTTGTTTTTTTTTGTATTTCAGACTAAATTTTATTTACTTTTTACTTTAAACCAAGTTACATATAAATATATTATGGTCTTATATTAAACATCTAACTTTAGTACCCTTTCAAAGCACATTGATTGAGGAAATTCATGTTTAATAGAATTCTAAACAACACTGAATGTCATTTGCTCAACGATATAATATTAGGTATTTACCTTATAAGTTGGAGATTTGCATGAAAATTTTAAAATTATGTCTTTTTTCATTTTTATTTTAGCTGATCTAAGTACTGGCCCAAATTATCTATAGAATTTTGGCAGTTTAGCTATCCCTTTACTGTAGAAGTCTGCTGGACGGGTCTCGCTGATGGTCATTTAGTTCGCGTGGCACCCACTTATCTAGCTTTTTGATCATTTCGCACGGAAGTGCTTCCATGTTGTTTTAACACTAATTCCAAAGCCCACAGCAAGCTCAGCCGTAGATTGAGTTGGATCCGCTTCCATCGCTTCTATTCGTTGTTTTCGCCTCGTTCCTTAACTCAAAATTTCCAGATCTAAAACGTTTGAACCAATAATGGAACGTGTTTATGGCAAGAAGTGGTAGACCCGTATACGTCGTTAATGTTTGTTCGTTCGTGTTGTTTATTCATGCGTTAAAAAACCACCACTATTTCACTAAAACAAAACACTGTCTAAAACAAATGACTGAATTTTAAATTAAAATAACAACTTTTGAATAAATTTTATTTGAATTTCTGAATATATTCTAGTAACCACAGATAATTAAATCTGAGAAAGCTGGTTTTAAAACTCTCCTACATCATAGGTTAATAATATTAATAATATCTCTTTATTTCAGACCATGGTGTCCATTTTCTTAGTAACAATATTCTTAGAGACAGTGTTAGTACAGTACACAAATAGACATACATAAAAGACACATATAAGACACACAACAAACATCGCTGCGCCATTCCGTTAGCAATTGCGCAGCAACGATTGATGTAACTACAATCCAGCCGACTAGAGATCATGTTCAGGATACTGTTGACGCTGCCGCTGGAGAGATATGCATCTTTTACGCATCGTAGCATAAAACCAATCTACGCGATGTTCAGCAAACATCTCCGATGCACTATCGAAACGCTGCAGCCCCATCAGCACTCTAAAGGCGTTATTATATTTGACTTAGAAGGCACTGTACGACGCTTGGGTATAGTCAGCCCACAGGATGCACGTGTAAATTGGAGTGCAATGCGATCTAAAAGTGTTAGTTTGACTGCTGTCGAGCAACTTGCAAACCTGCGATCTATCATGTTGTTCCCTCTCTATGTCATCATTGTTCTTGAGGTCAGTGGTCAGCACATGTCCTAAGTACTTAAATTTATATACCCTACGCAATACTGTACCTTTGAGCGTTAGATTGGGAAAAGAAAACTCCTTACCAGTACTGCTTCCTCTGGCCTCAAAGACCATAACTTCACTTCTTATTGGATTATATGTTTATCCATGATGTTCGGCGTATGCTTCACAAATTGTAAGCAGTTTCTTTAATCCACATACAGATGCACTCAACAGCACCATGTCATCAGCGTAGTTTATAATGTTAACATTAATTCCATCTATGTGAAAGCCCATACGTGTTAAGACCTCTTAATTTAGTTGATTTAAAAATAAAGTTTCCAAGTATGTCGTATAGTTTTAAATATACAGAATATACTTTAAAAAATTAAAGCTTCAGTCATGCTAACATAAAGTATATAAAAACTGGTTACGGTTATTTGTTACGATACAGTTCTTATAGTTGTTTTAAATACGATCGGCAAAGTAAGTAAAAAGTCAATTGAATGAGAAAAAAATATTTTTATTCGATTCACTTCGATAAGCAGACCTTTGTCTAATACTTTTGGGCGTTTTTTTCCTCATTGGCTCATTGACTCGTATTAAAACTTATTGTGTCGTGAATGTCGGAATAGCGTGGACGAAATTAATCGTGCGTTATTGTATAAAGATTTATATATTGTCCAGCGTTGGTGTGTATTTGAGTAAAGTAAATGTTAAAGTATATGTTTTTGATTGTATGCACAATAGAATAAATTTATATGCTTATAAGGTATATATTAGATATCGGATAAACTTTAATTTTGTCGTATTGTAGTATCACGTCCACCATGGTTATGTTATCACCATTTATGAAGAAATGTAGTGCCTAAGATATATCTGGTATAGGGGCAAACGAGAAGACTAGACGTGATGGTAAGTGACTTCCACTACTTATTCATGGCTGTATAATATTTATATTAGGTATATCATACCAAACCCACAAACCCTTTACCAACCCGTCTTGCCAGCGTGGTATAGTAGGCCAAAACCTCCTTTCTAAGGAGAGGCCTATGTCCAGCAGTGGACTATTAAAGGCTGTTGATGTTATGTGATGTGATATTATACCAGCAATTATGCCAGGAAATAACAGTATACTGTACCTACAGCTTTATTTATCTTACTATTAGTCTGTATTAAATTCACATCACATCACATCAACAGCCTTTAATAGTCTACTGCTGGACATTAACCTCTCCTTAGAAAGGAGGTTTTGGCCTGCTATACCACGCTGGTCATCCAATGGGTGTCGTAAGAGCCGACTAATGGAGAAAAGTACTCAGAGCAACAGCACTGCAGAGATAAGGAAAACTTGACACAAACCCTATATATAATTATTGTCCTTTTTTTATTATTGTGTGTTCTATGACACTGTCAACATCGTCCACCATCTGGACATAAAACTAACAGAGGGTAACTTCTCAGACCCTGGAGATAAATTTAAAATTTCTGTGACCACCAGAATCGTCTCTTAACAGAAATTTTGAAATCTTTTAAATAGATGATTTTATTTTTTTCTTAAAAGTGTCTCTTTAAATAAATTACTAGAATACTTTAAAATTTTAAAGAGGCACCAATCCAAAAGATGATAACTAAAAGATGAAAAATAAAGTACATTTTACGCTTGTTGGTAAAGCTAGGAAATACTTCCGTCCGTCCGTCCGCGGAAGTGTTTGAGAAAGGGTTACATTATATCCTAATCGTTTACATAAGAAAAAATTCTCATAATTCAAAAAATAATTAAATAAACTATTCATATCCTGATTGCAGAGAATCACACCTTTATATTCATTCGTACTCTGATTCATATGATACAAACCTCTTGACAACTCGGTCGGGTTGAAGTGAAATGTGGTTTATTGTGTTATAGGTGACGGGTGCCGTTTTTCTACAAAGCCTTTAAGTGTATCGTGAAGTGATTTAGTCAGTGTCGGGTGGTCGGAGAAGGAAGGCTTTGCCGTAAATAAGATGGATCCCAATCCCATCCTATTTGTATTTATGGTGAGTAGTTTGGTTTATCTTTTTGAACTTGACCTCTAAACTTTTACTAAAATATTTTTTAAACTATTAATTAATATTCCATGAATAGGTACTCTGTGCCTGTAAAGTGTATCATCAATGTCAAAAAGATCTTAAAATATATACCTATGCTACTAGAAATAGTATCTTTTTTGTGGTATGGTATAAGGGGCCAACGAGCACACGGGTCACCTGATGGTAAGCAACTACCGCCGCCCATGGACACCTGCAACTCAAAAGTCACAAGTGCGTTGCTGCCCTTTGAGTCCCTCCCGCTAGAATCAGCGGGGATTTGGGCTCCGGTAACCTCACTCACTCAGTGAAAGTCACTAATTTAAGATATTTTATTAAATTTCATATCCTTGCATATTATAAAATGAAGTCCCCGGGCTGCGTCTGTATGTCTGTATGAACGAAATAAACTCAATAGCTACCAAACGGATTTTTGTACTGTTTTCACCAATAGATAGTGTGATTTCTGAGGAAGATTTAAATGTATAATTCATGATGGTTTTATATAAATCGACTGAACTATAACGATTATTGTTGGAGAGAACGCAAAAAATCTTATGTTCTATAAACCGGGTGGAAAAAGGATCACGGTTACCGAAATCATCGCGGGCGAAGCTGCGAGCGGAAGATTTTTTATACAATTACTAGCTGACCCCGGCAAACGTTGTTTTGCCATATACATTATTTCAAAAAAATTGTCAAGAAAAAAATTTGGGTTATGAAAAATAGATGTTGGCTCATTCTTAGACCTACCCGATATGCACACAAAATTTCCACGAAAATCGGTTGAGCCGTTACGAAGGAGTTCAACCACGCACACCGTGACATGAGAATTTTATATATTAGCTTAGTCGTTCGTCGCAGTTTCCACATACGGTTTTAGTCACAGCTCTGGTCTTCGCTTTCGTATTTGCTTCATACTCAATATAAGAAAATGATTTTTCTTATAATATTTTTCGTAATTTTTTAAATGTACATCGTTTTTGGCCCCGCAACCAATCTGTGGAACGGGTTATCGGCTGCGGTATTTCCGGACCGACACGACCTTCAAACCTTCAAGAAAAGAGCGTACTCCTTTCTTGAAGGCCGGTAACGAGAGAGAGATGGTTGAGAATACCATACCGTTATCATGGTCTTAATATTTTTAATATTTTTCACTTAGCGAAGGTATTGTCCTAAGAATAAACTTTTCACCCTCATCACCTGGATAGTTGGCGCTCCACTACTGTGCGCTTTTCGAGACACTTTTTGCCTCGCACAACCAATCTGTGGAACGGGTTATCTCTGCAGTACTTCCGGACCGATACGACCTTCAAGAAAAGAGCGTACTTCTTCCTAGTGAGTTGCAGACTTTCGTGGGCGGCGATGGTCACTTTCCATCAGGTGACCCGTCTGCTCGTCTGCCCCCTCTAACATAAATAATAATAATATCACATAATAATATCAATTAATAATTTAATTTCAGATTCTGTTTTTAACATTTCTGACAAACGATTCGACAGCACTTGAATATGATGGGTCCAGTCTAACTCAGGAATATCCATGGAAGCGAGGCCTAGTACGATACTCCAACTTGGTAAAAGTAATAATAATAATTGAAATATATAAATTAAAATCATAAAACTAGTTTGACTGACCTGTTGATCTAGTGGTTAGCGAGCCTGACGCTAAGCCAGAGGTTGTGGGTTTGATTCCCTTCCAGGACGAATTATTGTGTGATGAGCACGATCATTTGTTCTTTAGCTGAGTGGTATTAGAAATATATAAGTACGTTTATCAGCAGTCTGACTGCCATAGCCCAAGCATTGCCTAATTCGAGATCAAAGGGCTATGTGTGAGATGTCTCAAGTTAATTTATATTATTATTGGCCAAAAAATAATAATTTGATATTCGTTAAAATACAGTTATAGTTTTTCATTGTCATCATCATCAACAGCCTTTTATAGTCCACTGCTGGACATAAGACTCTCCTTAGAAGTTATGTTTTGGCCTACTATACCACACTGGCCAGACGGGTTGGTATAGGGTTTGTTTCAAGTTTTCTTTCTCGTTGCAGTGCTGTTGTCCTGCGTAGTTGGCTCTCTTAGTCGGCTCTTACGACACCCACAGTATGAAAAGGAATCTATCACCACACTGACAATATAGTTTTTACTATAGTTATATATTTTAAAAAATTTGGTACACATTTTAATTTACAGGTACACCATAAGCTGCGTCGTAGTAAAAAAAGTAAATTGTATAAATCAACAAGTAACAATGAAAACCTTTCTACCAAAAATATGGAAACATTTGTGACGGAAAATATTGAAGATACACCTAAAAGTGTCACAGGAAGTGTTCCTAAGGACAAGGTTCAAAACATTATTAAATATAAACTCGACTGCAAGAATGGCGTAGTGGTTTAAGCGATCACTCAGTGCTGTGGGTTCGATCACCACGTGGAACGATATTGTGTGATCCACAAATTGTGGTTCTGAGTCTGGCCGTTCTTTGTGTTCGTTTCATGTATATTTGTAAAGTCCCCCGCGACACAGGATATATTTTATAAAGAGTCTTTTAAAAGGAAAGAGAGGACAGCTAGATTTTTTCTAAAACTTATTACATTCCCAAAGATTGGCGTCAAACAGCCGTTTCCATTACATAAGGGCTGGCTTACTCGCTTCCTTACTTTAAAAAGACAAGTCCTTCACTAGGAAAATATTATCCTGTGACGCGGGTAACTTTACAAACATTCATGAAACGGACACAAAGAACTGGGTGTTCTTTCTTTCGACTCAAAACAACAATTTGTGGATCACACAAAGTGTTTCCCATATGGGGATTGCACTCACAACACTCAGCACCGTAGGAAGCTGCGAGATGGCCTCTTAAATCACTACGCCATCCGTGCAGTCAAGTTATGTGCTGCCGGTCACGTGAAAGTTGTAAACTAAATTGTAATTTTATTGAGATGTCAAAAGTCAAACTGAAAAATATAAAAAAACTATGTTTTTTAACAATTTTGTACTGTTATAGGTGACTGGAGCGATAAGGAATCTAGCTAAAGAATCAGACCCCAAAAGTATCAGAAGAGACAGCAGGGACTACTTTAATGATAACTCTGATACCGTTACTGTTGAACAATATACAACAGACGTGACGAACAATGATGAAGAAACATCCACTCCAAAGCCACGTAAACGATCTCGAAAATCTAGACGTAAAATGAAAAAGGTTTAAACTTTTTACTTAAAAAATTAAAGTCACATATCAACCCTCACGTCTCTATCCCCGAAGAGGAGAACAGAGTCATATTAGTGACCACATTTTGGGTGACTATAATTTTGGTCCCAATTCCGTATTAGTCGTAATACGAAAGCCTATTTCTTAAGAAATATACAAAATATTTCTACAGATATACATGTTATAGATAAATTATAACGAGACCCAAAACTACCTAAATACTCTTCAACGTATCATCATCATCAACAGCCTTCAACAGTCCACTGCTGGACATAGGCCTCTACTTAGAAAGGAGGTTTTGGCCTACTATACCACGCTGGCCCGGCGGGTTGATATAGGGTTTGTGTCAAGTTTTCCTTCTCTTTGCAGCGCTGTTGTCCTGAGTAGTTTGCTCTCTTAGCCGCCTCTTACGACACCCACGGGATTAATAGGGGTGGTGACCCTCCGCATTCGTAATCCATCACCACACTGACAATATAGTTTTTACTAGGGATATATATATATATATTCAACATATAATATTTATATAATATAACTCAGCAATTAGAATCGCTAACACAATATAACAGTCTTGCCAGCCCAATTCATATTAAAAACTTACTCTATTTTAAAATAGTCTACATATCAATTTTTTGTTGACAGAATAAAAATAAAATTAAAAAATACAAGACACAATTTAAAATTACAAAAATAAAGAATAAGAAACGTAATAAAGGAAGGAGGATTAAAACAGAACTACCGGATATTGTTGAAGCTATACTGAATGAATCACAAGAAATGTATTTAGAGGTGAGAAATAAACAAGTAAACACACAATAGTAATATTTTACACTATGCTCAATTTAATATAATAATTTGTCATAGACATTGCCTGCATTACCTACTAAACGTACAAAAATTATTAAATCTACAAAAGAAAAGCGCAGAAAAGGTAAAAAAAGTAAAAAACATTCCAATCATATTGGTGACGGTTACGAAAGACGCCACAACAAAGGAGGAGGTTGGCAGAAACTAACATATCGGAAGAAGAAAGCTGTAAGAATATAAAAATATGCCATCTAGAGATAGTTGACGACTAGATTTTATATTTTTTTCATGTTTTTTTTTTTTTTTTTTGATTAGGGTAAATCAAAACATCCAAAAAAGAAACATCATATAATACTCACCACCACTCTCAATACTGAAGATTATTTGGAGACTGTTAACAGCGAAGAAGTGGAAGAAACGACAAAACATATGCATAAAACTAATGACGAAAGAACAGAGGTTTGAAATATATACTACAACAAAACTATAATTATTGAAATATTAATTTATTTATTTTTACATTATTCACTTTTTTTTTAGATAATTTATGTAACGCCAGTTCCAAACTACAAAAAATACAAGCCAGAATTTAGATACATTCGCATAGATAGTGAACCACTCATTTATGGTAACCTACACACTCGAAACTCAGATATGGCTCGCTCTTCTGAATCGGATACTTCCAAAAGCGTATCAAAAGAAACTGAAGAACCGGATTCAAGCCAAAAGGTGTGAAAAGTAAAACAAGTATACGGTTTTAAATTGAAGTTGGTTCGATTTTAATAACGAATGTCGTCTTATTTTTAGGAAGTTACAAACTGGGCTGAAGCATACAAACTTGGAAGTAGTCCAGAAGAAAATCATGATGAAGAGGATGTATCAGACACAACAGAAAGTAGCGAAACATCATCAACAGAAACAGATGAGTCGGATCATGACCACGATTCCTTAAAGGTTTGATACTATCCAATTAACAGAGAAGGAAAATGTCTACTCAAATAGCATAATATCATATTTCTTTATTTTGCAGATACGAAGAACTGCAGATGATCAGTGGTTCGATCTAGAAGGTGATAAAGTCAAATATCCAAACAACATAAAAGATAATTACAGAGTTAAAAAATCAAAGGCTGTAAGTGATAATCCACATGAAACAAAAATAGTTCTATACAAAAATTATCACAAGAAAAAGGTAATTGTGAATACATATATATTAGAAACAATATAATTCATTTTCAGAAATTTCTCCATAATAATTCTGTCCAGTTTAATCAATCATTAAACTATCATTAAAAGTATATAAAGCACAGGTAGATTTACAACAAAAATCTATCAACACTCTCGCATAGTTGTCCCATGATCAAGAAGTTACGAATTGCCTAAACAACTGCCCTTGCCCGATCGTAATTAGACACTCATATCAGTGGTAGTATTAGATTGATGTGTTCGATTGCTGATTCTTTCCACATTTCTTCTGCAGTTCATTTGTTTACAATTCTGTTTGTATCATCATCATCAGCCTATCGCAGTCCACTGCTGGACATAGGCCTCTCCCATTGCATGCCATTTAAATCGATTTTGTGCTTTTGTTTGTCTAGACATACTATTCACAAGAAATTTGCAACCGATTGAATACATTTTTAGTATTATAACTTGATTCAAAACAAAATTGCCATATTATTTTTTCTCATTTGTCCTGAAATGCGGTCACACTCACACGAGATTATGTTTTTCTTTTCAATTTTCAGTCCGATCAAGATGTTGCAGAACGAAAGGATAAACCAGTTAGTTCATACCACAATATTATAGGACAACAGCCCAAAACGATTACTACAAAACGTGACATTGAAGAAGAACAGCACAAAACAGTTTCTCCAAACCATAGGATAGAGTTAACAATGACGAACAAAACGGTATTTACGATAGTAGTTTTTTTTATGGTATAGGGTCAAACGAGCAGACGGGTCACCAGATGGTAAGCAACTACCGCCGCCCATGGACACCTGCAACTCAAAAGTCACAAGTGCGTTGCTGCCCTTGGAGTCCCTACCGATCGAGTCAACGGGGATTTGGGCTCCGGTAACCTTACTCACTCAGGCAAAGGCAAATAAATAATTGCTTAACAAAGGTTATCTGTGAGGCCGTGGTATCACTCCGGTCGAGCCGACTCATTCTTGGGCTTTGGATTTGATATTTACGTGACCCTGCTCATGCTCCCGTGGACGTCCTTTTACACAACACTATACTAATTTAGCTCAGCTGCACTTTTTCAAAGAAAACTACTCCTTCAAGAGGCACGTCCCTCATACATTTATCTTTTTGTTGACGTAGTGGAAATTGCTTCAAATCTTCGGCTCCTTAGGGACGCGGGTCCCAGGAGTATATCTTGTTCTTGCTAAATAACCACCCTGACAGCCGGCCTCAGCTGCCATACTCTGGGAAAGTCTGGACCGGGTCATTTCATGGTATCCTGAATCGACGCTGTCTCTAACCAGGTCCCGAACCTCAGATGTACCTAGGAGATGTTTTTTCCTTTGCGTTGATTGCCATAAACAAACTAAAGACTCTTTTCAAATATACTTTTGCATTCTTTGCTTACAGAAGTCACATTTAAGTATACTGGAGGACAGGTTATCACCAGTGTTAGAATATGGCATAAAAAAAAATAACACCGGTCAAGAAAAAAAACCTGCAAAAAGATTCACCCCCTCCGACGATATTTTAATGGTAAATAAAAGAAACATTTTTATGATTATCACGAGTTTTCTGTATCGACCTTTAGAAATAGTATACGGCCAAACGAATAGATGGGTCAACTGACTATTAGCGACCTACAGACGCCCATTCTCTTTATCTTTCTTCTTATCTTTTAAAAAGATAACTCCCGCACTAGGAATAAATCCTGTGTCGCGGGAGATTTTACAAACATACATGAAACGGACACAGAACACCCAGACTCAGAACAACAATTTGTGGATCACATAAAGTGTCGTCCCATGTGGGGATCGGACCCACAGCACTCAGCGTAGTAGTGAGCGGCGTGGCGACAGCTTAAACCACTACCTCATCCGTGCAGCCATTAATACCTGCAGCAGAAGAGACAAATACGTTGCCACCCTTGGGGCCTCCAGTAAACGCTGGCACTCGGTGAATAACAACGAAAAAATGCTTAACTGCGGTTTTCGAGGCCAAGGTTGACGGGCCTGTTGGTCTACTGGTTAGTGACCCTGACTGTTAAGCCGGAGGGTTCGATGCCCACCCAGGACAAATATTTCTGTGATGAGCACGATGATTTGCTCTGTGTATGGGTGTAATTTATCTATAATATGTATGTATGTATGTCAAAAAAATATATACGTATGTTTATCAGCAGTTTGGTTACCGTAGTACAGGCTCTGCCTAGTTTGAAATCAGATGGCCGTGTGTGTGATGTGTGAATTTATTATCATTATGGTTTCACTTCGCTCGAGACAGCCCATATTAACCGATTCATTGCTCTCCAGGTTTAATCCTTTTAAAAGATCGCTTTTATCCATTGTGTATTGATATTTCAGATAACTTTTGAAGAAGATCAAACTTCAAGATATGAACCATCGGTTCATTACAAGTCACATTATAGGCGTTTGCGTAAAAAACTTTTCGGAAGAAAATCTAAAACCAGATCAACACGAAACATAATGAAATTGGTAAATATAATCTGATTTGTTCATACCAGATCTGTTACTAATGTTCAAATATCTTTTTATCTCCTCTTTTCTTGATAATACTAAATTAGTTATTTATTTCTTCACAAAATACTTTGTGTTAAAACAATACATTAGGTACAAATCAAATCTATTAGTAAATATATTCCGATGACACTAATTAATAAAATATGAAATACACTGTCAATAAATTAATAAATATAAGTATTAACATAAAAACGTAATCTATCATGTGGAAATTCTTCAACACTATAGTAGTCTTATTGTATGTTATATAGACAATAACTATGTTGTTAATTCGATACGCTTCGTATTGTCTCAACGGATTAAGAATACGGAATGTCACCACCCCTATTCATCCCGTGGGGGTCGTAAGAGCCGCCTAAGGGAGCAAACTACGCAGGACAACAGCACTGCAAAAAAGAGAAGGAAAACTTGACACAAACCCTCTACCAACCCGTCTGGCCAGCGTGTTGTAGTAGGCCAAAACCTCCTTTTTATGGAGAGCCTATGTCCAGTAGTGTACTATGAAAGGCTGCTGATGTGATGTGGTGATGATGGTCTTAAAATCTATGGCTATATAGATTCACAGACAGAATTGATAACCACTAGACCAACAGACAATGTAGTACTTAATTAATTTTACATATTGTATTTACAGCCAACATTTACAGAAGTAATGGCAGTTCACGATAGAGTAATAGCAGAGCATAGCAGTCAATTTGAAGATATTCATAAAGAGATTATTGAAAACAGTACGATAAATGATGGCTCTGACTCCGAACCTCGGTCAACGGTAAAATTATTTCACTCTATTTTCTATACTTCTACATAAATTTATACTGTATCTAATGAGGCTAGACATTAACAGTCTATTCGCGTTAAGAAAATAGTGACGCATGAGGTGTATTCAGGCTGGAGTAAAAATTTTAACAATTTATATTAAATTTTAACAACAATAATACTTTCATTTTTTTTTAAATACTTTTAATGTTAAAAAAGAAATTAACAAATATTGCGTGGTATGGTGTAAATTATACAGGACTAAATGTTTATTGTAGTATTTCTATATATTTAATAAGTGGTTATAAACAGCATATTTACCACGTTTATTTACGGGAATTCTTTGCAGATATTTCGATACCGTTGCAAGCGCAAAGGTCACGGATAAACCTTTTATATATTTGTTTCTGAGCTATCTTAAAATAATTATAATATGCTATTAAACTCTCTACGACTTATAGAAAGAATAAGAATCCAGACTGGGTTCCAAAAACCAACGTACGGTGTGATTTTTAAATCATGGTACATTACTATGTTAATGATTCTAAAAACACGTACAGTTTCTGTTATTATCTAGCCAATTCTCATTGAATAATGGGCAACCTATTGCCTCAATATAAAGAAACCGGCAAGAAGGAAAATTCTTCTCAAGATCTGAAAAATATGATCATTAATAAATAAACTGACTCCAAATTCCATTCTCTTTTATTGACATCTTTTTTTTTTCTTTTAAAAAGATAACTCCCGCACTAGGAATAATCCTGTGTGGCAGGGCACTTTACAAACATACATGAAACGGACACAAAGAACACCCAGACTCAGAACAACAATATGTGGATCACACAAAGTGTCGTCCCATGTGGGGATTGGACCCATAACACTCAGCGTAGTAGTGAGCTGCGTGGCCACCGCTTAAACCACTACATGCAGTTAACATCGGTTGCGAACAGTCTATGTGAGATTTATGTTTCTGTTTAAAATAAATTTCCAGGAGGTGGTCACAGAAAAACCTAGATGGAGATACGAACCAGTGATAGAATTCGTTCCTGTGAAGAATTCATTTCGTGGACAAACACAAGATGACGAAGAGACACGGGTATTATATTATTCCTAAACATAATTTCATAAATACTTGAAATATCAAAAACAATGGTGCAATAGAACAATAATATTCCAGAAAAATTCACAGCCACCAATGTAAATATACATTTATAGGCACACAAATATTTGCACCAAATAGGAATCAAATCTAACATATCATCATCATCATCAACAGCCTTTACTAGTCCACTGCTGGACATAGGCCTCTCCTTAGAAAGGAGGTTTTGGCCTACTAACTAAAAACAAAAAACTAAAATCTAACATAGCAGTTTAATAAAAGTTAATTAATCATATTTATTTTGACTGCCTTGGTGGTGCAGTGGTAGCGTATGCCACTGGTGTAGTGAGGTCTCGGGTTCGATTCCAAACCAAATGTTTGTACCATCTGCAATATTTATTTTGAAGTTTGGGTCTTTTCTATGTATAATATGTATATATTTAAAAAAAAAGTTTAAAGGTATTGTACCAGTCAAGCCTCAAGTTTGAAACTAGATGGCGTTGTGTGTCAGATTTCCGATAAATATTATTATTATTATATCATTTCCATCATCAAGAGTGACTTTTGGAGAGCCAGATGAACAAAAGCGTGGACTGGGCTACAGTTTTTTTAAGTGTTTTTTGTACCGTGAATGGGCCATGTTTCGGCCCATATGGCCCGGCGCGAAAGGAGTGATGAGTAAAGCTTCTATCGTTGCTGGTCGGACCAAATGTTTGTATGATCTGCAAATATTACTATGTTTAATATGTATGTTTTTAGAAAAAAAAAGTATACGGGTATTCCATCAGTCAATCTAGCATTTCATTGTACAAAACTCTGTTCAGTTTGAAACTAGATGGCGTTGTGTGTCAGATATTATTTAATATTGTGAAATATTATTTTTCTCTATTTGTTCTGTATCTGAATGTAATTTATTTATTAAATATTTTCTTTACTAATTTACAAGTATGTTTATCAGCAGTCTGGTTACCATAACGTAGATATGTGGAGTTATCTTTATTATAATCTGAAAAAGAGAAAATAATTTTAATCTAATCTAGCGAACCCCAAAAAAAAATCACCAAGTTAGATAAGAAAACTGCAACTTTTTTAAAATCTAGAAAGCAAATTACATGTAAATATTTTTCTTTATAGGAAATACAAGACCCTCTAGTAGAGAAGTACGAAACACATTTTGATGAAAGTAAACATTACGACAATAGTCCAGAACAAACGCATGTAAAGAGATCAACACTACATGAAACCGTAAAAGTGGTGAAAATATCACACGTAAAAATTAAGAAGAAAAGGAGGGTTTGTATCATTTTTAATTATTTAATCTTAATTCTCCACAACACTATCGTTACAGGCCAACCCTAGAGTAACAGTGTGGTACTATAACATATAAAGCCGTGTGGTGTCGTGGGACACCCGATAGGAACGAAGTTGTGACGATCGAGTAAAACTGATTCGACACGATTTGATGATGAACATGATTTTACAACGCCATCTATGAAAGCGGCTATTACCTACATATTTTTAGTTGGTTTCTAATTAAAACAATTTATACATTGGTAAAATCTCCTTGAGAAATGATTTCCTATCTATTCGATAGATGGCGCTGAATGACTGACAAGTGACAATTCAAAATAAATACTGAGATGAAAGTAATGATTTCCTATCTATTGGATAGATGGCGCTGAATGACTGAAATAAAAAGCGTCGTTACAACTTTTCGTGAGAATTTTTTCCGTCTAGCCCCCTTTCACAACGCGCGATGATAAACTTGGGTACTTTTGTAAACTCATTCAGAGTACAAGAAAAAATGTCAATATTTTGTGCCACCTTGTTAAGCGTAACTAGAGTCCTCGATAGAGGAACCTTGCTCAACAAATTTGTCCTAGCAGATGGTACCGCCAGTATACGTATCCGCCGTCTTCACAACACATACTTGTCGGGAACACACAGGATTTTAAGCCGTGATAGGTATGTAGGTTCATGTGGAACTTCTATTTTAAAAGACTTCGTAAATGGTGATTTTGAAATACCAGAATTTTAAACTTTTGAGTTAAATAATATAATTCAAGCTAAAGAGCAAATACATTCTACAAATAAAAACCGATCACTACCCATTTCCTATCACTGTAATCTTATACAAGATTGTGTTATCTCCATTTCTGTTGATTTTGTTATAAGTACTAATGAGGAAGACCTAAAAATACATTAATTCATAAAAACATGATATACGCATTTTTTGAATGATGATCTAATCAAAGTTCTAACAGATTCAGAATATATAAACTACACACTGCTGCCCTAAGTTTTATTAATTGCAACATAAATGAAAAAATGTATATGATATGACAACACCACCATTTGTTTGGTGTAGGAGACATTATGTTTTTTATATCATCAACATCAGCCTATCGCAGTCCACTGCTGGACATAGGCCTCTCCCATTGAACGCCACTTAGATCGATTTTGGGCTTCTCGCATCCAGCTCCTGCCAGCCATCTTGCGCATATCGTCACTCCACCTGGCCTGTTTTTTACACATAAATAAGCCATTTATTCGTTAATACTAATACTACTTTTAATACTCATACTACTTTTAATAATAACAATCTTCTAGAATTTTGTGTTCGTTTTTAAATGTTATGTGTTAAATTCTGATTATTTTTAGCAATTTCAATAATATGGTAAACGAATGAAGTAATTGTATTAACAAAACCCATTTTCTTACAGAACTTTTTAACAACAAATCAACCAGAAGAAACTACACCCGTTGAAGACTATGGTGACACAAACACAGAAGCAGTCAAAGAAACTGAAAGAACTCCAAACAGATACAGCAACACATATCAAGTTCATGAAAATGTCATAGATGTCCCTGATAATAGACATATTCCTGGACCAGTTATACCTAACTATGTGGTAACGTCCAATCATAAAATCACCATTTCACCTAATATGACAAATAAACTCGGTGATTTCAACCCATACAATGGCCCGGCAGAAATTGAAAATACAGAACATCCAATTGTAAATATAGTACACAGTATGAAAGATTATTTTACTGTTATTGGTAAAGGACTATATAATACCGTTAAAGATATTTTCAAAGAACAAACGAGACGAAGACGGGCTCTTGAAAGTCAAGAAAGTTATTATATAATTACTAATTATTAAGAAATTTTGGATTTAGGTAAAATAGTTACTTTGACGTCAATGGATTATCATACACACGCACTTACGCCTGTATCTCTGAGGGTAGACAGAGGTTATTTTACACCCACTTTGTTAAGTACATATAATTTGGTCCCACTGGTGTAATAAGAAGCAAGGCTATTCATCAACCGGGTAATTTGGGAATTTATGATGGGAAAAATTGGGGGTCGGAAATTAAAATCAAAAAAAGGCACAAAGAGAAATCAATAAGGGTAGATTGAAGATTTTAAGTAATAGCTCTAACACACAAGGGTCACATCTATCACTTGAAGTGACTATTGCCGTGAAAACCTAAGTCTCTAGTTATAAGGTTATCAGTTGAATGGAATAAAATTGTTGATTTAATGCTTTTGTTTATTTCATTGTCACCCATGTCGTCATCAACAGCCTATAACAGTCTACTGCTGGACATAGGCCTTTCTTTAGAAAGGCGGTTTTGGCCTACTATACCACTCTCGCCAGACGGGTTGATATTTTCGGGTTGTTTCAAGTTTTCCTTCTCTTTGCAGTGCTGTTGTCCTGTGTAGTTTGCTCCCTTAGTCGGCTCTTACGACACCTACGGGATGAATAGGGGTGGTGACATTCCGTATTGTTATTCCGTCACCACACGGATACGTACGTTGTACCCATGTCGACATGAGAACACCTACCCATGTTCTTCGCAAAAGAGTTTTAGTAAACACAATCTAAAGATTGTGGTTCCAATTTTAAGAAGGTTATTGGTTGCCAATTGATTTTGAAAGCGATAAGTAACATCTATTTATTGATATATAATAGTGGTTTAAACATCTCTCTGTTAATTACAACTGCTTTAAATATTGTGGTTTTGATTTAAATATCATTATGTTAATAATTTTATTTGGGGTCGGCCCAGTCTAAGATGATACCCCGTGGGTGTTGTAAGAGCCGACTAACGGAGATAACAACGCATGGACAACAGCACAAATTATGACTGGTAGAGAATGCATGCAATGCATTAAGTCCGCCAATGCACCAAATGTGCATGTTGTGTAAATAAATTAATAACTAGAGTATAGCGTGATATAGCAAGTCTTTGATGAAAAACGGGACCAAAATTACAGAAGGCCAGCGTTGCATACCATTATTTCTATCCTGTTCTTTTGTGCATGTGGAAATACTTTCGGACCGTTAACCCACCCCATATGGTGACCGGGTGGTGTGTCGGAATTGAACCGAATGGAAACCACTTGGAGTGTCACACATACGGCTTAAATAAGAGGGACCCAGGAAGGATGCGGATGTCTTTATTATCCGTATGGTGACAGATTAAGAATACGGTGTTTCACCACCCTTATTCATCCCGTGGGTGTCGTAGGAGCCGACTAAGGCAGCAAACTGTGCAGGATAACAGCACTGAGAAGAGACGGAAAACTTTAAACAATCCCTAAACCAACCCATCTGGCCATATGTCTAGCAGTGGACAAATTAAGACTGCTGATGGTGATCCTTGTAAACATTAGTTAATATAAGGAAATTGTAAATGCGCACCACATACTACATATTACTTTATAGTATAGTATACTTTTTAGATCACAGGCTGCGATAAGGCCGCCCATTGTATCACTGTTTTTTTTTGTATGTATCATCGCATGTATCCTAATTATGGTGTGCAATAAAGAGTATCTATCTATCCTTCCTAGTACTTGTACCTGGTACCTGGTACTTGCTTGCTTAGGTCTTGACATTAGTAGGAAACTATATTGGTGTGATTTCATTCGTGGAATAAATAAAATACAAATTAATTATCGATTTATAGTATGTCACTATTAAACTACAAAGTGATTAAAAGCAAATTAGGGTTAATGTGTTAATGAGTGTATCAAGTTTTGATAACGATTTTAGAGAAGTTTGAGGAACTCTTTGTTCAAAAAGGGGTTAAGCATAGACACTTTGGAGTTACGCTAATGGCACTGATGCTCTCACTACCATATACCAGGAGTACTAATAGGAGACGCGCTGCGGAGCACGCGTGTCCTTTTGGGAGCAGCAAGGGAACATGGGGTTTCCACACAGGAGGAGGTCATATACCCGCCGTAGATGCCCCGAGGTACTTCAGGGTACCAGGGATTTCCTTTCTAGGGTACACCTGGTTCACCGGCTACTGGTACCCGACACGGTGTGCGGTTTTCAGTAGGTTCGAGTCCGACATAGCCACAGGTGGTATCTGAGGGGTATTCCGCACAGAAAAAAAACAGAAAAAGAGTACTAATAGGTTAAAATAAACCCATCATCATCATCATCATCATCATCAGCCTATCGCAGTCCACTGCTGGACATAGGCCTCTCCCATTGCACGCCACTTAGATCGATTTTGGGCTTCTCGCATCCAGCTCCTGCCAGCCATCTTGCGCAAATCGTCACTCCACCTGGCCTGTGGGCGTCCTACACTACGTTTGCCGAGACGCGGTCTCCACTCAAGAACTCGTTTTCCCCAACGGTTATCGGTTCTGCGGCTAATATGGCCAGCCCACTGCCACTTCAACTTGCTGATCCGGTACGCTATGTCGGTGACCTTAGTTCTCTGCCGGATCACCTCATTTCTGATGCGATCCCTTAGAGAAACGCCGAGCATAGCCCTTTCCATAGCACGTTGAGCGACTTTGAACTTGTGGACCAGCCGTACCGTAAGTGTCCACGTTTCAGCTCCGTATGTCATGACGGGTAGGACGCACTCATTAAAGACTTTCGTCTTAAGGCACTGTGGGATCGACGATGAGAAGACTCGACGTAGCTTCCCAAACGCTGCCCAACCCAACCGAATTCTTCTGTTCACCTCGTCCTCGAAGTTGTTTCTGCCTAACTGCAATGTCTGCCCGAGGTACACATAATTTTGAACAACTTCGAGAACGGCACCGTGTACCGCAATCGGTTCCGGTAGTACATGTTCGTTGAACATGACCTTGGTTTTATCCAAGTTCATCCGTAGGCCGATGCGTACAGAAGTGTCAGCTAAGTCATTCAGCATTTGCTGTAGGTCCTGCAACGTCTCTGCCATGATGACGATGTCATCTGCAAATCGCAAGTGAGAGATGTATTCGCCATTGATATTGATGCCACGCCCTTTCCAGTGCAGCGTCTTGAACATGTCCTCCATTGCATTTGTGAACAATTTCGGGGAAATAACGTCCCCTTGTCTCACTCCTCGATGCAATGGTACGGGCCTTGTTTGCTGATTCTGTACTTGGACGGACATGGTGGCGGCTTCGTAGAGACATCTCATCACTTTGATGTATCGCCAATCTACTTGGCAACGCTGCAGGGACTCCAGAACAGACCAGATCTCGATCGAGTCCAAGGCTTTCTCATAGTCCACGAATGCTAGACACAGGGGCTGATTATATTCTTCGGTCTTCTGTATAATCTGCCGCACTGTGTGGATGTGGTCTATGGTGCCATATCCGCTCCGAAACCCAGCTTGCTCCGGTGGTTGGAATTCGTCGAGTCTTCGCGCAAGACGGTTCGTGATGACTCTCGAAAACAGCTTGTAGACGTGGCTTAGAAGGGATATGGGTCGATAGTTCTTCAACCTGGTCTTGTCACCCTTTTTGAAGAACAAGACGACCACACTCCTACTCCACGCTTCTGGAGTTCTCCCTTCAAACAGGACAGCGTTGAAGAGCTTTTGGAGCTCCCTTAGTACGGGTTTACCCCCGGCCTTCAGCAGCTCTGTTGTAACGCCATCCTCTCCAGGGGCTTTTCCATTTTTCAGCTGTCCAAGAGCCATCTCGATTTCGTCAATGCTAACTTCTGGCAGGTCTTCGGTGTAGTGACGTGTTAATGTGGCTCTAGAGTCCTCATTTTCGGGATCAGGTCGAGATGCATGCGAAGCGTATAACCGGCCATAGAAGCTTTCCACTTCCAAAAGGACTGCCGGCTTCGAAGCAACGACTTCTCCACTTTCTGTAGTCAACTTTGTCAGGTGGCTTCTTCCAAGAGATTGTACGAACACTTTTGACCCCCGATTTTGCTCGATCGCTCTTTCAATTGAAAGAGTATTGGAGCACCGGAGGTCGTGTCGTACGAGTTTACTGATCTCTCGGTTTAGAGTCCGCTTTGCCGACAAAGTGACAGGTGGGTTTTCACGTCGTTTCTTCATCAGCCCTAGGGTCCTTTCTGAAAGCTTCGACTTCCTGCCCTTACGCTGCATTTCACAAAATCTCATACCTTCTTCCCTGAGGATCTGAACCACATTTTTGAGGTTCTGGTTTACGTCGATTGTGGTTTCCACGGCAGCGAATCGGTTTTCCAGTTTTGACTGGAACGTTTCAGATCCTGTCATGGCTTGGAGCCGAGTTGGTCGGAGCCTGGATTTCATCAAACAGACACGTTCCGCCTTAAAGTTGATATTCAGAGAGCCCCGGACAAGTCGGTGATCACTACCGGTATTAAACCTATTGATCACTGAGACGTCTCTGAATATGTGCTTTCTATCCGTCATGATGAAATCGATCTCATTTCTGGTCATAGCGTCGGGGCTTTGCCACGTCCACTTCCTTTGGGGCTGTTTCTTGAAGAAAGAATTCATCAAAAATAAACCCATAAGAAGAGCATACTACTTGACGGGCATTCAAGGACAGTCACAGCGTAAAACTATTACGACCCCTTTAAAAATAGCATTTGGCTCACTTTTTAGATGTGTTTTAAAGAAAATTATAACCTCTAGTTCAATAATATAAATACAAACATAATTATTTTCAAAAATACGTTTAACCATTGTCCGGATCAGCAAACTGAAGTGGCAGTGGGCTGGCCATATTAGCCGCAGAACCGACATCCGTTGGGGAAAACTGGTTCTTGGGTGGAGACCGCGTCTCGGCAAACGTAGTGTAGGACGCCCACAGGCCAGGTGGAGTGACGATTTGCGCAAGATGGCTGGCAGGAGTTGGGTGCGAGAAGCCCAAAATCGATCTAAGTGGCGTGCTATGGAAGAGGCCTATGTCCAGCAGTGGACTGCGATAGACTGATGATGATGGTGATGATTGTCCATTCTGGAGCATTCAAAAGAATGGTAGCGCACTGCGTGACGGGCTCGGGCAGCGTGCCAGCGATGTCACGCGACTTCGGTCGCTCCGACTTGCAGCGATTTCCAACTGCCATAAACAGTGCAGACTGTAGCCGACTATTTGCGACCGATCGATAGCAAATCATCATTTAGTGACCTATTTGGGTTTAGTAGTGAATATGCTAATTGTTTGTTTTCCCGAAGAAGATGGTTGGAACAAAAATAGATATAGTTAAAGAACTTTTATAGTTTAAAAATTCTGTTTTCCGGATTTTTGCCATTAAAAGAATGAGAACTGCATCTCTTAAGTCACCTGCATCCATTATTATAATAAAGTAGAAAACAAAAAAATTGCGCTCCGCAGTCGCAATCCACCTTTAGCGACTAGTCGCTGCAAGTCTCGCGACCACCGGCCGTCACCGTCACGCTGCACTGAGCCGTCCAGTTGTGTGAGTTCTGTGAAGTCGCCGCGAGTCGGCGCGACCAAAGTCGCGCGACATATCTTGCACGCCGCACCAGCCATAAGTTACAGGTTTCCTTAGGCGGCGTCTGTCTTATGAAGAGCCTCTCCAAAGCTACTAGAACCCAAATAATAATACTAATAGCTTGACAGATCTCGGACCAGGTCATCTGATCCCAAACTAGGTAGAGCCTGTACTATGGTAACCAGACTGCTGATAAACACACTTATACATTCCTAAATATATTCGTATTATATATAAAAGACATACATAGAAAGACATAGAACAAATGATCGTGCTCATCACACAGTTATCTGTCGGGAATCGAACCCACGACCCTCTGGATTAGCAGTCAGGGTCACTAACCACTAGACCAACAGCCCCGTTAAAATAAATGATGTACTCATTACACTGTAGTTTACAAGAGTTTAGTGTGAGACGCTTATTACGTCACCGATCACAAAACAACACAAAGTCTCACTTAACTTAACATCCTTTGGTCCGCGTAAAACTTAAAGTGAGCAAAACTTTACCTGCACACTAATGTATGGTCAATGAACTTACTTAGTTTGGGTTGAAAAACTCTAGAGATGCTAATACCGTTCGGTGATTTTTGTATTCGTTTAAATTCAATGGTTGTACATTTAATAATTAACTAAACAAGATTTGTTTTGAAGCAAAATTACGCATATACTGCCGATACTTTCCTTTGTCTTAATTACGAAATCTTTTAAAACAAAAATCAAATTAAAAACGTTCTCTTTCTTAGTATGGAAAATGGTACGCCTCAATTTTGAACTCAATTAAACTATGTACTAGTGTTACATATAGTTTAAATGGGTAGTTAACCTAGCATCATCATCATCATCATCATCAACAGCCTATACTAGTCCACTGCTGGACTCTCCTTAGAAAGGAGGTTTTGGCCTACTATACCACGCTGGCCAGACGGCTTGGTATAGGGTTTGTTTCAAGTTTTCCTTCTCTTTGCAATGCTGTTGTCCTGCTTAGTTTGCTCCCTTAGTCGGCTCTTACGACACCAACGGGATGAATTGGGGTGGTGACAATTTGTATTCTTAATCCGTCACCTCACGGACGGTAACCTAGCATAAAAGTACAGAAACCCTTTAAGAAAGTAATAAAATTCTATTAGTAATATAAATTTTCTCGCGATGTTTCCGTTTACCATGAAAAAACAATAATAACCTCCTTTCTAAGGAGAGGTCTGTGTCCAACAGTGGACCATTAGAGGCACTGATGATGAAATAACAAATTTTTATTTGCTTCCAATAAAATATTTAAACTTTTTTAAATTATGTACCTAGGGCTTAAAATATTGACCTATTGCATAACACAAATATTATTGCCCTATGAATGATGAGGTAATTGATGTAGGCTTTTATTGTTTTTGTCCATTTCAATATGTTAACCAAAAATTATATTTCAAAGAATTAAAAAATACAATGTAATTATTTTTAATTTCTCACAAACAAAGATCAATGATTCATATAAATTACTAACACCACTTATGTCGCAAAAAATAAAAACAAACTACCAAAACTGGTTCCGGTATTACCACTCTACTTAGGTGTACTATGTAACACAGGGTCAGTACCCCAGGGATGCTGTAGTGTGCCGCGGCGCCCGCGCAAGACGCACGTGTTCCGCGAATTTGTTTTTTTATCGAGTGTTCTGTGATCGAGGTTTGTATTTCATTCTTTTTTTATAAATATAACATTTATTAAAAAAAAAACATCGTAGTTTATTTTTAAGTTTTACTTTTTTTATATTTTCTTTTTGATTTGTTTCCGCTTATTATTTGTTATTAAACTCAAATGTTGTTATTTTGATAACTTCATTATACTTTAATAACATGGTCGAAAAATAAATAACATTCAATATTTGAAACCTGCTTATCTTACGGTAAAATACGGTGGTTTAAAGGCAATGCAAAATTTTGCATCCGAATTCCATTTATATGTAAACGATGTAAATATAAACATAGAGTGGAGTGGTGTTAAAATATAATTATTTTAAACAGTTTAATAATAATTTGTCGATTGCATTTTGTTGTTAGATTTTAATGTTATTTATATGTAACTAGCCGGTGCCAGCAACTTGGTTCCAAAATTTTATAGGGTTTTTGTGAGAGAGAAAAAATAGGCTATGTTACTCCTTATAGACAGCTAGCTGGTAGTAGTATCCTATTTCCTTTCACATCACACATCACATCAACAGCCTATAATAGTCCACTGCTGGACATAGGCCTCTCCTTAGAAAGGAGGTTTTGGCCTACTATACCACGCTGGCCAGACGGGTTGGTGTCAAGTTTTCCTTCTCTTTGCGCTGCTGTTGTCCTGCGTAGTTTGCCTTTAGTCGGCTCTTACGACACCCACGGGATGAATAGGGGTGGTGACATTCCGTATTCTTAATCGGTCACCACACGGATATTGCCTTTCCCGTGACTCAAACTATATGCACATTATATTATATCACACTTTTGCATTTAAAATATAAGTATGGATTTATAGGTGGGAAACAGTTATCGCAATTAATGGAAATTATTAATTTTTTGCTCTATAATTGATTATCATATAATTCACAAACATCGAACAGTGGCACTTAGCCACTTAGCCACGAGTGGGTTAACACATTGTAAAGTTAAGTAATCGTAGTCAGGTAAGTCTATGGATGGGTGACCATTCTTAAAACATTGAAAGCCATGCCTCAGGGAGCACGTTAAGTCGGTCGTCGGTCCCGGTTGCCATACGAACATCTAGGGCAATCATTATGGGTAGGTAAAGTTCTAAAAAGGTCCGCCAACAGTTTTTCTACAGAATTCGATATCGCCTTGTAGGTACTTGGGTTGTGAAGAGAAATCAAAGTTCTGCCGTATCGTAGTAGGCTTAAAGCCTAACCTAAACTAGTTTTTTGGAAGAATGAGGAAATAATTCAAAAACACTTAAAAATAAATGTAAATGTTAATTATTAAATAGTCAAAAGGATTGATTTTTGATGATCCCACAAAACAAACCAATTATTTAATTAAAATATTTTAAATAAAAGTGATTCGTCTTATATAAGGTAGATGATTAAAAAAAGGTCAAGTTCGAGTCGAATTCTAGTAGAGAGGGTTTGTACAATGAATGACCCTAACATTTTTTTTAAACTAATTTAATATTTTAATAAGTAAAAAATATATTATATCCAATATCGACATTGTTGTTGTTTTATACGCATTTACTCCCTGCTAAACTCTTAACATTGAGCGATTTTCCTATGCTACTTAAGATTATATATATATATATATATATATATATATATTTATAGGCTCTTCTTAATGTTAAGGTAACTGTTTTTTATTTTATTTTATTCAAAGTATAGGAGGTAAGGGGTAGGAATATCTAATTTTCATTTATCTCATCTCATCTCATCTATTACTACTAGTAAATAATTTCAAAACCATGACTATAAAATGACTACAATACAATTACACAAATAAAATTTTAAAATATACATATTATATATATATAATAAAATATATATAAATATATACTTATATATTTTATAAATGTGAATGTAAGTTTGTTTGTTTGTTTCTTACGCTTCCACGCCTAAACACCTAAACCTATTTAAAAAAATATTTTACCAATTTTAAACTACACTATCAGCGAGTAGCATATTATACACTACATACACTGGGTAAAGATCCACACCAGCCACCATAATAATTGAGTATTACTAACATTAGTCCTTAAGTTATTTTATTTGTACTATTTGAATCTTGAATTTTGAATCATGCAACTTTTTACCACGGTAACAAGCTAGTATATGTAAAGCTCTTTCGTTTGACATGTCAAACGACCCTGTTACGACTTGTTAATGAAAAATACCTCATTATCTGAAATACCTAAATGTATTTAAGTTACATACTTGTCTTCATTTTACATAGGTCATGGAATATGTAGGTGAGATGTGTACCAAATTTCAACCGAGTTATTTCGAGTGGGCAACCACCATCATACACATTTAAACCCGTATAAATCATCTTAGAGGAGTTTCGTTTTTTCATCAAACGTTCGGGACCCTAAAATTAATTGCAGAGAATTACCACAACTGAAATTGGTTTGACTAATTTGTGGTGGGATTGAGAGGATTTCACTTCGGATGGTTGGAGTTGATAATGAGCTTCAGGATTATTGAGGATTACCATAACTATTGTGAATATGGATTATGTTGGTATATCATTTATTGTTATATCATTGATTGTTAAAGCGCTTGATGCGACTTTCACATATGGTGAAACGAAGAAACATACTACAGCGCTATCTAACGAAGATACACCGAACTTCAGAGTAACTGATAATCCTTTATCGCGATACCAAAAATTCTCACGCCAATTAGGATATATACACCTTCTCAACCGTTGGACCGTGGCCCGCCAGGCATTCTCACGTCCCCTGGTCAGAGGATCCACCCCTTTTTGTCAATCGATTTCCGGTCTTAGAGGGAGTGATGTGGTACCCCACCACATGCGGTGAAACAAAGAAAACTTGGTATACCGCCATCTAACGAAGACACATTGAACTACGGAGTAACTGCAAATTCTGTATCGCGATAACAAAACAAAAAAAAATCAAGCTATGTCCAAGGTCGAAAAATCTATGAAAAATATTTCTATTGGAGACACTAAAATTCCCCAATCACTGACAAACTAAGCATCAATTTAAAAATTAAACACCATGATTATTGCCAATAAAATAAACTACGCGCCATACACACCAAATAATGACCACATACACTCGAAATGAATGTAAGAAGTCTAAAGATACTCCATATATCTAAATAATATATGTTCAGATATTTAGAAATTGTAAAACCAAAAATGGTAAGAAAAATACCTGACGGTGTTAGCAAAAGTGACAGCTTTAAATTTTAAGAGTTTGGAAGATTACGTCAAAAAAAAATTAACACCAATAAAAATGTCCCCATACTTTTAGTTTTATTACTTGTTCCAACTGTTTGGTGTATTGTGATCACATAGATACTTACTTTATTATATTTGTATATTATAACATTTTCTCATTATATAATTAATAATAATAAAAAATAATAATATAATATACTACCACATTCACACAACGCCATCTAGTCCCAAACTAAGCAGAGCTTGTACTATAGGTACTAGGCAACTGATATAAATACATACATATTTTTTTTTTGTAAATACATACCTATTATACATAGAAACACCCAGACCAAATCAAACATTAAATGTTCAAGCACACAAATGTTTGACTTGAATCGAAAAAGAAACTCATATACTACATACATTTATAAACATGTACATCAATGAATTAAAAAAAATACACTCCTATTATAGAAAGTCGCGTAAAAAACATTAATTTAGTTCACAAACAGGAGACAACCTACTGAACGACTTTTGCCGTTACCTATTAATACAAAAAAATAGCACATCTTTTTTAAGGTCCAACAAGGCTATCGTGTCTGAGCCAAAACTATTAAAAAAACATTAGTTACGTCACAGTTCTCGTGTCAATGCCCTTGTAGAACCGATATTCTACAAATAGTCATTATTCACGCCTACCAATCGTTTTATAACCAAATTAAATACATACAAAGATCACTTAGTATAGAACATTTTGAAAATATCATTCTATCAAAATAGCTGAATTAATGTGTCCTACTAGCTACGCCGAGTGGTGTTACTTGTGGTTGTTGTTATACCTTGCTCATCCCATGAGAACACTACATTTTTTCAGCACAAAAAGTAACCTATATGCTATTTCAGATTATAATCTATCTCTGTGCCAAATTCCATCTAGATCCGTTTAGCCGTTTTTGCGTGAAAGGGTAACAAACATTCATAAATCGATACAAAATTTTGCCTTTATAAGATTATGATATGTCCTGTCCTAGAGGCTATTTGTACTCGTACTTTGTAGTGTGGGGTGCCTGGCAATCTGTGTGACAGGGTTCCCTAGTGCAGATGCCAGTCTCCCACAATGGTCTTGAGCAATAACTGTAATAAGCTAGTATTAAGTAATCTTTGTGGAAGAGAAAATAAACTTTATCTTATCTTATCTTACTCTATGTCCTGTCCTAGATCTAAGGGTACTGGACTCCCATTTCCCTATCCGAGAGTATGCCTTACCAGAGCTCTCTCACCCTATCCATGTTCCTTACTATAATGTAACTTTTTTCTTTTTCCCATCTGAAAATGTTTTTTACCGTGGGACATTTAAGATCATATGTGACGACCGGAGTGATAGCACGACCTCACAGTATTGTTTACACTTGCCAATACATACGAATAACCAAAATTTCTTTCCTGCCAATTGCCTTCTCTTTGTGTCTACCAATTCCTTCAATAAATTTCCAACTAGCTGGTATCCGCGACTTCTTTCGCGTGGAATTTGAAAAGCGGTACCCTACAAGGTTCGACTCCCGGACCTGACATTTTTATGGGGTTTTTCTGAGAGAAAAAGTCAAGTTACTCCTCGTATAGACAGCTATATGGTAGTAAATACTATCAAAATCGGTACCACCATTTTGAAGATTACCCGAAACAAACAGACAGATTAATAAAAAATTTTTAAACAAATTTTTAGGCATTGATACCGTGCAAATAATCGTGTGAGCATGAAAAAACCTATCATTTTGACATTACAAACAGACACCT